CAGGACACAATACACAAATTGAAAACTTCTGTTAAACAGTGCTCTCTTGTGGTTCCGTGCATTAGTGAAAGAGTCACGGTTTCAATTTTCTTGTTTATGGATCTAGCATAAAATCTCCCTCTGATTTGTATTTCATTTCGCTTTACTTTTTATTTTTCTAGCATGCCATCCACCTCATTTATTAAAGACCACCTTTAGGTTCTGGATTCAAAGCAAAGTATTAAGTTCAAAATACAGCAGACACGTAACAGGGGTATTCCCTTATATCAAGTTTAGAGATAAATGAAGCAAATGTAACTAACCTGTTCGTTCCTATCAAAACTGTTAGATTTGACAATATCAGATGCTGTTTTGACCTGGGCACGCGCAAGATCCTGAGGGGCACTCTGGGAAGTTGTCATAGGTGGTAAAGGAGCTCTCCGCTTCTTTGGCATTTCAGATGGCAAGGTACTTGAATCATACTGCTTGCTAACAGTGTTACACCTGGTGATAAAAGTTGGCCTTGGCTTGCTCATCAGTGGAGTTGCTGGAGCACTGGCAGCCTTGGAGGGAGGAAAAAAAAAATCCATATCCTTTATACTTTCTGTAAAACAATCAGCATATTGAGGGGTTTAAGAATATGTTTGCACAAGTCTGGCTCATGTAAAGTTATATCTTACTTGTTCTCGTTTCTTCTTACTTCGTTGAAAAAAGCTGAAAAATCCTCTATTTTCTCTCTCCTTCAAAACATCTAAGTTTTCAGACATTTGGTAGGAGTCTAAAATGAAAAAAAAAAACAACAACAACAACAAAAAAACCCCACGTAGTTCTAGATGTTATTTATTGCATAGATTTTTTTCCTGCATTCTTATAATTTCACTGTCTGTCATCAGCCTTCTGGAAGGATACACCAAGCACACCATAAATCACCTATATTAATAGCTTTGCCAAAAGCTACACACTGACCAGGTTTCCTAACATCAGTGTTCTTCCCCTCTTCTCAGAACTCAAAGCACATGAGCTTCAGCTACGCTTTATACCCTCACCTCTCGACCCAGACCACTCAACTCGTCATAATTTATGATTCATTTAACAAAGTCTCCAGAAGGGGAAGGAGCAGAAGCCTCTCCAGTTCTCAATCTCTAGCAGCTTAAACTCATGGCAAAGGGTGAAGCGGGACAGGTCGAGTACAAGCCTGCCAGTAACAGGCTATGGAAGAACATCACTGAAACGCTGGCAGGCACTAACCTAAACGTAACTGTGTGACAGTCATGACAAGATTATCAAGTCCATACTGGGATCTTGCAGAACTTATCCTCTTTATATAGCCCTATTCCTGCAGAAGATTTGTAAATTCAAAGGTTGTCCTTCTTTAATTTTGATTTGATTTGATTTGAATTTGGTAAAGAAATAACATTTAACACAAATGCAAGAACCAACAGGAGGCATCAGGAAGACCACTGTGGGACTCTCGGTGCAAACATTAATATAAATATAACTGTTTTAAGCTGTATAACTGTTTAAAATTGACCTAAGTAAAAAGGCACAGAAATACTTTACACATATCTGGGTACATCCACTCCTGCACTAAATTTTTGCTTATGCATCCTTGGTAACACAGAGGTAACCTGTTTAATTTTACAGGTAAGTGATGATATAATGGGAATGGATGTTAATGTCACTCAAGTGCCACAGTTTCACAACCTGTTTCACTAAAGCATACCTTGTAAAGATGGTAAATTTAAATCAGCTGGTGATGTGGCTACAGAGAGACAAAAAGAGAATTTCAGTGTGAATCAGGGATGCAGCTGTAAGTTACACAAACACAGAATACCAAGCTGAGTCTTCAACATTAGGAAAAATATTTGGGTACCTTCCTGAAGTAAAGTAAGCTGATGCTCACCTTTAAACTCTACTTAATGCTGTATGCCACTTAAAAGCATAAAATGTTTTCATGAGTTCATAAAATGAGAACTACACACACACACAGAGCTTCATACAAACTGCACAGTTCCTTATGCTCTCTCTTAAGGATTTCTGGCAGTTTGATTCAAATGACGCAGGCTGGCGGTTTGGGCAGGGAGCACAGGGAGGACTGCTAAATTTTGGCAAAATAAAAAAATAAATAAATTCATGTCAGACTTCTCAACTATAAGAATACATGAACTTGTCCCAGCTTCAGTTTTGTGGAAGACTAGTGACATTCCTCAAATTGCTGGTAAATGAATTTCTTCTGAAGCAAAAACTCAGACAGTATAGATATGGAAATACTAAGTAATCATCTTTGCTATTAAAAATTTACAAGAACTGTCTTACCTCGACTGATATCCATGGCATATAGTTCTCTCAGTCCAAAGTCATTAAGAGATTTTGTCACATCCAGGGCTTCTTGGGACTGGTAGTTCTTCAACAACACAGTGTGCGAAGGATCAAACTCACATTTACTGGAGATAATCGGTATGAGTTCCTGAAGCGGTGCATGGGGACTGACTCTTACTACCGTCTTCTGGGTCTTCTTGTAGTTTATGACTACTCTTACAGTTTGCTGAACAGAAAAGCACTACAATAAGTCCCCAGCACATAAATTCTGAAAACAGCTGGCACTTTCATAACAAATTTACAGCAATCATATGAATTTGCCTTAGAGTCAACTTCACCAATGTTTTATAAACAATCTATTAGTTTTGTTAGAAGGGAAACTAGGAATTTATGACTCCCTTCTGCTCAAAAAGGTGGCTCAAACAGTCAACTTTATAAACTGTCACTTCTCTGGCCAGAAGGGTATATGCCTGGATTCAGTGTCACCTCCTGGATTAAATCAGGTAGCAGTGTCAGCCAATAAGCTGTGCGGGGGGAGAAGGAAGGTAAAATGGCAGCACAAGAGCTCCCATGACCATATACTAGCGCTTCAGATAAATTCTAAAATGGTATTCCTCTACGTGGCAGAATGACAAGAGAAGGAGGAAAGATTTATACAACTCCCAGAGGCAGCTGCTTCCCTAATTCTGAAAGCTCTTGTATTCTTAAGCAGCAGTATATAAGAAAAGCAGAGTGACGACCAAAAAATAAGCATTAAATAAAAATGACCATGCAATCAGAAGGACTCACATATCACAGCACAAGAGATGTGCTACAAATTCTTGATTTTCAGTTTCTGAAAAGTTTGTTGTATTCAATTCATCTTCCAAATTTGCCAAAAGGATACTAAGACATGGGATCGTAAACAACCTTTGAACATTTCTTTCTTGCAGCAGCAAAGATGCTGGAAGCAATGAACCAGGATCTATTTTACCTAAGAGGAGGTTACAGAGCAGATGGAGCCCAACTTTTCACAGTGGCGCATGGTGAGAGAAAGAGAGGGAGCAGGAATAAATTGAAACAGACTTGGCTACCTGCTCACCTTGTTGATTAGAATACTCTTTCTAATTTATTGATAGGTTATAACCTTAGTTCTCACCTCTGGTATCACTGGAGCAGGTTTCTTTTTATCCATTTGCTTTGGCTTTACAATCACCTTTTCCACTTCAAGCATTCCAATAGGTGTGTTGGGTTTGAATTTAATCTGGCTATTTTCTGCTGACATTAACTCAATAGTATAACTTGAGGGATTTAAACGATACTGTGCACAGAGAAAGATCAGCAAGTCCATCATGGGTTTCCTGTAAAAGACAAACAACGTGGTCACAGCATAAGATAATTAAGCAAGCTGTAAACCAAAATTTATTGCTAAATGTTTGCCCAAGTCATTCTTTCCTTTGCATGACTGAATAATTACTGTCAGGCACAAACTTTAACATCAACATCTAAAATCCTTACAAAGAAAATGAACTCAGCTTGCCCAAAAGTATGTTTAGTGCTTGAGCAAAGCGGGAAATTTTTGCTTGCATGAAATGATGCTTTTCCCGAAGCCAGCAGGGAGATGTGGATTAGTCACTCAACAACGTTTATAGTCACTCAACAACGTTTAATGGGATCTGCAGCAGTGATGATCACAACGTTTATAGTCACTCGTCACGTTTAAAGTTTAATGGGATCTGCAGCAGTGATGATATTAAGATCATTCTATTCATTAAGAACAGCTCCTTCCAAGGCTGGAAATTTTGGTATCATTGTGAGGAAGGGACTTTGTTTTCAGAAATTCTAAGCATTGGTCTTTTTTGAGTGAAAAGGAAAAGAAGCTTGTGGAAGCCACTCAGACACTGTTTAGGGCGTTCTAAAATGAAAACCATGTTTAATACAAATTAAAAGAAACAGCGAAATCACAATATAGTGATTGAACGTCAATCCTTGAGAAGCTCTGTGTGATGGGATTGATATGCTTTTCACAAAAAGAGAAGGCAACCCAATTTTTTTTTTTTTTTTATATGCGGTCACTGACTGCGTGCCTTTTTTTTTCCTAGGTGCTCAATGAGAAACACAACTTAAAGATCAGCTGAACATTTCCTATTGCTAATGTACTGAAATCAATGAAGCTGTACTTTAAACAATAAGAATGCCACAAAAATGCTAAATGGACTGAACGGAAGGAAAATACATAAGCTTTGCATGTTAGTGCAACTGAATTATGAATAAGGTTATCATACTACCATATCACTGGAACTCTTCATTCCTCAATTATTTTTAGAGGTGGGTAAGGAGCGTTTCATTTTAGCATTCTTCACCACTTCTCAGTTACAGTTAAAAATAGGGAAGGCTATCACACAGTCTCACAAGGATATTATGAAATTAAATTAAAAGTTTGTGAAGCAATCAAATACTATGTTGAGAACACTGAAGTGTGTAAAAGGAAATTAATATTGGGTTTAGATAGTATGGTGCTATCTTAAATTCTAGATGTAATCTCTTCACAGATGCTACTATGGTGGGAGATAGTTTCCACAAAAAGCTGAAAGAATCCTAGATAATACCAGTTCCCATAACTATGATATAATTCGGCAAAAGGTTAATAATGACTAAATGTTGGAAATTGCTGTGAATACTGGTTTGGGGTTTTGTTTGTTTGCTTTAATCCTAAAATATAATTCCTTTTTCAATTGCTCTGAAACACGGGTTGCAAATCCCTTGAGCAAACCTTCTTCTAGTTTTTATAGTCTGAGCTGGAATCTGTCTGCACATGCTGCACTTCCATAAGGTAAAAACATGCACGACGGACATGTTTTGCTGTCAGCAGACTGACAGTTCTGCTTGTGGAAACAGACCAGCAGGTGTTTCCAGAGGAATGTTTCTACCTGTGTGAATGGCAGAAGAGAATACTTGCAGGAGAAGATGGCAGGAGAACCAATAAAGCCAAAAGTCTACTGGAAGGATGCTCCAGTTGCTCCAGAAAGTATGAAAATGCAGCTACCAGTCTGAAGAGGTATAAATACAAGAATGGAAGCAACACCCATCAAGGGTGTTCATCAAGGCGATACCAACTGGCCTGAGGAATACCACAAGTAATGCATTGAGCACTGCAAAGAAAATAACCGTTGCTGCCTCCATACACGGTTGCAGCAGAGCATGTACTTCTGTTCTCCTCTCACACACATCACAGCCTGCTCTGAGGAGAAGGAGCTGCTCTTCCTCCTGTGCTCCCAGACCACGGCGGGGGATCTGCGCTCCCCTCACTGCGGCAAGAATGTGAAGGGAGCTGTGAGGGCAGCTCTTCACATCCCCGAGTTCCTCTGAGGCCAAGGCGGGGGGAGAGGAGGGAGGCAGAGAGGCAGCAGACAACCGTTTTAGTGACCTTGCTGGTTATCAGCTTATCCAATAAGTTACCCATTAGCTTTTTCTGGTGTATTTTTGTACACTGCCTAGCTTTAAAGGCTGCCATCTCCCTGGCATTCAGTTATAGGTGGAGAGCAAGGAAACAGACCACTACCAGGATGAAAGGGTGCAAGGAGAGACTCTAGAAAGCTGTTCTCGAGCAATGGCAATGTGAGGCCTTGCCCCACTGTCCTGCAGGGGTCACAAGAAATCAGACCATAAAAGCCAGAACTGATTCAGTATTGATTTGCTTTCCGTAGGTACTTCCAAAAAGTGACCTGTCTACCTGGTCATGCCAGATCACAAAGATTTTAAACAGAAAATTTTAAAAATGCTCTTACAAGCAACAATACTTGAAAGAACAAGAAATACTTCAAAGAACTTGAAAGAAATCAAACGAAACAAACATACACACCACCAAAAAACACTCTAGATCCTTCAGATCTCACAGAATAACATTGCACATCTTCCTTCATCTACTTTCAATGAAATGTTTATTTGCTACAACTTTAGCTTTATTATACTTTCCAGTTTTCTGGAAATCCCTGGTTGTAAATTTGCTTTGGCACTGCTGCACCCCTCATCTATTTTCTTCTGGTTATTCCTACCTGACCAAATAGCAATAAGAAGCAGCTCACAGGTGCCTCTTGTTACACAACATGATCATAATCAGATGATGAGCTCCATGCAGGAGGTCCCAAAGCCAGATTGGGTCTGAGAGAAAGTTAAATTTGAAACCAACAATGGAGGACCAGGGAGCATAAAAAATACTCCTATACTCAGAATTTTTTTCAAGTGCCATTTTGTTATCATTTTTACAATACCATTTTGATGAATCAAATCTTGACCACAAAATGTTTACTATAGTCATCTGATAAATAAAACTGAATACAGCAATGTAGCAGTATCTTACAATAATCTGAGTAAATTCCTAAGCATATTTTACAATTAGTCACTTCTGACCAAAATCCTTCAAAACAAAAAAAATGCTGAGGAAATTACTCCAAACTGCCTTCAGTGTTGTTAAATACTTTGAATCTTTGAATAGTGTTTGTGACTTTTTACTTATCACATGAAGATACATATTGAAAAATATTTCCATCTGTCAACAGTTTCCCCAATTCTCCAGGAAATGCATCTTCAAGTAAAGAAAAGGTTGCATAATATGCAAGATTTATAGATGGTTATCAAAAAAGATTTCTGCAGAGCAAGTCACATTTCCTTTTGTTCTTTCCTAATAGCTTAGTATATCCATCAAAATGACTCTGCTTTTCTTCTCTTACTTAGAATGAAATATTGCAGAAAAATCCCACCAACTCAACTGAAAAAACTCGAATCACTTTTACAATCTCAGGATTACTCCAAACTATTAACTTGCCATTTGTCACAGAGGCACTCAATCTCAAGGTAGCTTCTGCTGTAGAACTTTTGCTCTGTATGACAGCAGGTAATATTAGAAAACTGTATAAATTATCTGCAGACAGATTTTGTTTATAAGAAACAATGTACAGTATTTTGTATTCACAAAAGCATTGCTTCTATCAAGAGTGAGTCACAAATTTTTGAAGTCCAACAATCTTTTAAAATGTGTTGTTTTTGGTGGGGAGCTTTGTTAAAAAGCACACTGCACTCAAAATTATGAGTTGAATTGTCTTGCCTTGTACACCAAAATTATCGGGGTGGTAAAAGCTGTAACAAATATTTGTTTCATTTCACTTGCTTTCTGAATCCAGTATTTAAGGAAAAAATATATCTTGTTTCCAAATTCCTCTCCAATCATGAGAACTAGAAACTTGCTACTTAAATAAATAAAAAGTAGAGATTTTTACATGACCAAAAATCAGGAACAAGGTATTATCGTCATGCAACTCATGGCAAGCACCATTGGATGAACACAATTCTGTTGGTAGCCACAGGAAGTATCCTAACAGGAGGTGGAAGAAAACAAGCCAAAACCCTCACACACCTTTGCTTGCCATAAACCTCTGCTTAGATAAGTCTATAGCTCCATGGCCTTCCTTACAAAAGTATTCATTAATACTCTGCTCTACAAAGAAAAAGACATATTGTTTTGATGTAAAACAAACAAAAAAACAAAAAAGCAAAACACACTCCCGAATTTGTTAATAACAAATATAAGTACAACAGACTTTGAAAAGTAGGGCAACACCACAAAGCTTGTTATTCACTAGCAAGCTATACAGAGTAAACCAATAGTTTATTAAGCATATCCTAGGGACCCAAAGTACTCAACAACGGATCAAATGGGAATTCACAAAGGGCTCTAAGAGAACAGATTCAGCAAATCTAAGTTCCCTCTGAAAGGCAGCTGAAAGTCCTGAAGTCCCCAGAATGCTACCCTGCTCTGCGTTGCTTTGCTTGACATAACTAGTGCTACCCCAGCACGGGGCCGGGGAGCAAGCACAGCCGAGTCCACCCGCCAGCCGTACAGGAGCTTCGAGTGCAGCGCAGCATCGGAGCACACACTTGTACAGAACCTTAGGTTCCCTGGTCCTACTATCATAATGAGAAGTAAAATACTATTTTCACCTTGGAAATTTTAAAACCCTTCATCTTTGGCTGTGAACAAAAAAGACTAGTTAGTAGCTTCTCTGTTCTCATCATTTCTGGAGGGATCTTGACTATTTATCCACAAAACACCACCACCAAGAGAGACCACAGCTAGGAGAAGTGATCTGAGGCCTGCAAACCCCTTCCTGAACACTGGATAATTATATACCGTGTAATTTGAGGAGTGAAGGTGTACACCAGGTTCGTCAGTGCTGCTGTGTTGAGCACAGCAGGATACTGGGCTCACAGCACTCCAGAGGGTTGGGAAGGGAGTGAAAAGGAGATGAGAAGTGCCCGGCACAGGACATATGGGATCTCTCCGTTTATGAAATTTTAAAACTAGACTGAGGCACCATATTTACAGAGAGCAACATTCCTTGCTGACAAAATGCTAGCAAGAACACTGCAATGCATCTTAGCAGGCACAGGTTATTTCAGGAAACGTGTTGCAAGTTTAAAAAAAAAAAAAACTCAGATTTCAGTTGTCTGAAAAGAAGATGTAGGCGGAAATAAAACCAAGAGCTACAAAAGTTTATTCACTACAACTCTGGTGAACAAGCTGCTGATGATGTCTAAGCAAAGACTTCATCAATTCTAGTGACTGACATTGCATGGAGAGGGACATGAGCTACTGCTTTCCCTCATGAAGGAGTGAGGTTGATGTAATCACACAATTATATTACCCAGAGAAAATAAATAAATAAATAACCCCCAAAGCAACAACAAGCAACCACACACACGGAGAGCTTGCTCTGCTTGCTTCCACTAACAGAGACATGGGCAATACACAAGTACAAACACAAGTACAACGTGTGGCTGGTTTCTTTATTTCAGCTTAGTAGGACTGGCACAGGAGCCTTCGTAGGAGACCTCCTGTGCTAATTAATATAGTACCACAAGTCCTAGGATTTCTGATTTCAACTCACAAGTCAATTTTCCAATTTCTGAGCTGAAGGTCATTTTGCACAAGCCATACTGTCACTTATAAGGCAGTACACATTTCAAATTTAAACTAGCTTAAGTAAAAAATATTTGTTTCAGAAAAAAACTACCCAAACATGTAGCTAGAAACTGCTTCTCTGAACCATTACTTTTTGTCTGTAGCAATAAAAGTATTATTAGACTCACAAGTATTTGTGCTGAGCAAGTATTGAGTCTTTAGATTTAAATCGTACAAAAAAAAATCAGTAACTCATACAAATCAGTGGGTTTTTCTAGAGATTTGGAGTGACTAGAAGAAAACAGCAGGTATGGTTACCCATCTCGGCAGATGCCATACCAGATGCCAGAAGTTCTGAACCTCAAGGTGTCTTTCCAAAAGACAGGTACCCCTGTAAGTATCTGGTTCCACATCTATCCAAAAACATATAGACTAACACAACCCGTGTATTTTACCAATTAATTTAAGCTCGAATGGAAGCTGAAGCATGCTAGAGCAAGAAAATAAGCCTCAACAAAAGTGTTATTCTACACAACCTACCTGCCATTAACAGTAGTATATTTGATCACATCTCCTGGCAGGACCACTGATAGTTCAATGTCTTTATCAATTACATTCTCTTTCTGCTCCATGGTGAAGTTGGCTGATTCTGTGTCATCAAAAGGAGAAACATCAACGTTTTTGGTCTCAGGTGGAGGAGGAGGTGCCTTAGCTTTTCTTCTGAAATAGATTAACAAAAATTAAAAGTTGAGTATTTGTGTATTTGATTTGATACTGCCCAAATTCTCAACATAGACTTTACAAACTAACAAGACTTAGAAGAGGAATGAACCACACTATTCTTTTTCACTGTACCTATACAGGCAAGTAATGGACATAATATTTTAAACGTAAGATCAGTGGTGACAACACAGAAAACAAGTAAAACATACAAAAATACTGAAGAAAAGAGAAATTGCTTAATTTGTGGAGCAAAAAGTTCAAAATTTCAATAAACACCAAACACAAAACATGATTTTTTAACATATAAAAAAAATACTAAAATAAATTTTAATTTTTCATTCGATACTGCAAAGCCTGAGTGCTCCCCAAACATTTCAACAACATGTGAACAATGTACAAAGTGAAATTGCAGTAACAAATGGGTAAATCTATAGTTTAGAAAGACATGGGAAGGGTCACAATTTTCATCCTTTTAAATATCCCACCATCTGTATTTTTTCTATACATTAATAGAATAGCACTTAAACGAATACTACTGTACTGTATTTTTGATATTTCAATCATAATATAAGCTTTCACATTTTTCCCTCACCCTTGCTGATTTCCTAGCTATTTTTATTTTCTCACTCTTCTTTCCCTTCTCAGCTACAATGTGGTGTATTCTTGAATAGAAACACTGAACATTAAGTAGTTGTACTTATTTCTCTTTTTTTTTTTCTTTGCAAAAATGAAATTAAGAACACACCAACCAACCCTGAATTGTATAAAATGAAAACTTGCTTGGTAATCAATTCATGATAGAGTAAATTTTGAGAAAAGAACTTGCATTCTCTACAACATATAATACAGCATCCCCTTTTATTTAAAGGGCTTATCAAGAAATTACTATGAAAAGATTCATAAACATAGGCCCTGAGGTGAATAAACCAAAAATAGTGCTCCGGGTGCTTGAAGAAGTATCTTGATACAAAGTGGTGGGGGTAGGGAGGGCAGGGCGGGAAATCAGAAATGATATCTGTATTCAGTGGCAAATGCCAACGCATCCTTAAAACAATTAAAAACGATTTTTACATTACATTTTTGTCCTTAAGGAAAAAAAAACATGAAAGAGCTCTCACAATCGCAAATACAAAAAACAAACAAGATGGAGGTACCTGATATATTCAGGAAGAAAAAAGACTATCACTGATTTCACCATTAAAAAAAACATACATATGAGCACGCATGCTTAATTTCTTGTAAGTAATCTTTTAAAAAGTGAGAATGGAACTACACTCACCAAAAAAAACCCACACATATTAAAAAAAAAAAAACCCGTAATACACAAAAGCTTCAAAAATATGCTGGCAATTTAGATCCAGGGGTTGTACAAAAGTTTGTTTATTTTCAGTGCAACCAAAGAAATTAACTTCTCCAATTACCCTACAGTATTAAAACAAAAGCTCTAGTATACAGAGAATTAGAAACACACATCTTCCTTTCTAAAACAAAGTTTAAAGTCACTTACAGTGGAGAACAAACAAGGTCCAAAGCAGCAGTGCAAGAGACGATGGTGTAATGTGATTTCACATGACCCATCTGTTTCTGAAAGTGCTTAAGGAGTTTTGAACTTCAGAACTCCATGCTGAATAATTAACCACTCCCAGCCTCTCAAAAGCAATCAGGGCTACTCATAACTTTCCAAACATGCACAGTAAAGATTCATCATTAAATTACATGTCCTCTCTGCTGATGGTTTAAACTAGCTTTTGGTGTGTAAGACTTCCACGCGCACTTCAAGATCTGCGCTGTTAGCTCCAAATCTTGATTTGGGTCCCTAGCACAGGGCGCCAGGGTTATTTTGGAGTTTTGTGAGTACTGCAAAATGAATCAAGCTACTTTTTACTCCTGTCCAACTTTTCTTTTTTTTTTCAGTACAAATTTTATACTGCCAAACAGAAAACATTAGCTCATATAGAACCTCACTCAAAAAAGGAGGGAAAGAAAAGAATGAGATGTTACTAATAGCAAAAATAATTAAATAAACATTGCTTTTCCCCTTTTACACCCATCCTTTGGTCCAGCAGATGTTCCTCGGATGACTGTTAAACAGTGCGTTTCAAAACTGCACTCAGAATTTAATCCTTGAAGGTCACTCACCACAGCAAGATTTGCTCGCAAGTCCTAGGGGATGGCAGCTTCCTCCCAGCAGACAATGGCAATTTTGTTGCTGGAACTCCAGAGGTAGTAGTTAATCCAAACTAACACCAATAAAAGCCGGCTTCCTATTAGTAAAATGCAGCCTCACTTACAGTGTCCATCTTACACTGTAGGGAGTCTACTAAAACACCCTTGTCAAGTCACGTGCAACAGGTAGAAAAGCGAAGTCACGCAGAGGCACAAATGGCCCACGCGCGCACGGAGATACCTGCCAGGCACTAGGGGGTATGGATGAAAACCAGCAGGCGAGAGGAGGGTGGAAATGCCCTCACACCACGAGTTTTAAGCTACAGTCTCTCCCGTTAGCGCTATGGGGCCTCCAAGAAGCTGCGTGCAGGAGGCCTCTGGGGGAGCATCACCTCTGGCAGCTTCTGGTACCTCCTCCTTTCCTCAGCCCATCCCAATAAAAACAGCATTATCCAGGTAACTGGATGACACTGTCCATGTTATCAGTTCAAGCTCTTAAAGAGCAACAAAACTGATGCTAAAACCCAGTACCCTCTTACCTCCTCAGCCCCTACCAGACACTCAGTAAACTGGCTGAGCTACCGGCTTTTTAATGGATGTTTTTAAAGGATTGAGAGAATGGCCAAGACAGTTTCCTGAATAGGAAGAAAAACATTATTTTTAAGTAAGAAAAAGAAAAAAAAAAACTATGCAACAGAATAAATTCCAATCACAGAATAAAATTACTTAGAGTTCAGAAAAAGGTGTCCAGTAAATGATCTCATGCACAATGCTGTTTTTTTGCAGACATCTTCCAGATGTTCTGGGAACTAAGCAGATCTACTCTAATTTTTGAGGCAAACATTAGAAGGAGGTGGAACACCTGAAAAACATGTCATCTCCTTGGCTACTACAGAACTAAAGGAACAGCTGAGGGAAGAATCAAAGTGTGGCTTATTTAGCTAGGGCATACAGAAAGGGAGCTGAAATGTATTTTTTAAAAATAAATAAGGCCACAACTTGCAGTAAAAAATCCTTCGCAAATTGTGCTGAAATAGCCTGTACAACACGAGCCTTCAGTCCTTTCCTGCTTCCATAGGTCCCAGCCCACTCAGACGACTGACTTCTCTTCCCCCTGCACTGAAACACCAATCTCAACGCACCTGCAGTGACACAACCCTGTTTATCATCAGGGAACCAGGTCTCAACTGCAGTTACCCATCAGACTGCTGCAACTTCAATGCCGTATTCTGTTTACTCAACTGCTTATGACAAAGTGGAAAATATTACTTTTCTCTGATACTCATCATAAGGCAGAAAAAAAAACCAATTCCTAGCTCTGAGAAGTTCGTACCCCCATAAATCCAAGATATTATACGCTCCACATTCCCCTTGTGCAGAATAAAGTAACATTGCAGTATCTCAGCATATTTCCTCCTTACAAAAATAAACATCAAAAGTCTGAATGCACTGAAGCTCTTTATACGATAAAGTAAATAAGATATAGTCAATTTGATGTTATAGTCAATTTGATGTTAATTAATATTAATAAAAAAGCTTCAGTACTTTAGCAGGTGCATATTACAAAGCTTCAAATAGATTTTTAACTATCAGTAACTGCAGAAGGGAACTTTAAAACAATGAGAGATACTTGAACTTACAATGACCTGGATACTCCAGTTATCACCAGCACTTCCTCTCTGTAAGGATCACTTTCCCTCAAACACTGCAGAAAGAGGAAATCTAATTGCAAATAAAAACTTCTCTGCTAGATGTGTGCACAACCAAAGGCTATAGCAGAAGCAAACCACCTCTTAGGATCTTGGTATCAAAGAAAATCTCCACCTTTACAGGACTTAAATTCCAAGCTGGAACACAATTACGTGAAACACTATACAAAGACAACTCGCCCAGGAATCATTTTGGATCTCACTTCCAATATCAGAATCATCACTCAAATTTTCCATAAGAATCACCTGGTGAAGACAGGAGAGGTGATAAGGACTCTTACCTTCAACTCACTCATCTCCAGATCTTGAAGAAGTTTATTAAGCAAAAAACTTCCTACTGGAGAGTAGGATTACTTACAGAGATTTAAATTTCCTAATTTAATTTCTAGCATCACTAAGCACAGATTTATATGAAGGGCAACTATAAATTTGTTTCTTCTTTTGTATCAACCTCAACTACTATGTCAAAGCAGCACTTTCTTATTTTCAAAGTCAGAAGAGCATCTAGCTCAAGTTTATATCACCTAAGCAAAGAAAAAGGTCCCTGGAATGCAGCTCCCTCCAGAGCTTTTCCTGCTCTTGACTTCTTACCCCAAGCAATTATTATAACGCTTTTTGATTATAACAATAATGTTCCTCCACTTTGTGGCAGCAGGGGGCCAAAATCTCACACACATCATCTGCTCAACCAAAGTATAGTTCAGTAAGAGTTCAGGTCTACTTAAGTACACTCTCTTTTGTTTACAACGTTGTATCAGTTCTGGGCAACAGATAATAAAAAATACTTAAACCACTAATTTCCCCCATAACTTTCCTCTATAAGAATTCTCACCCCAATCCTAATCTACAAAATTTCTCAAACTGTGCGGAGATTATAAAAGCAGCAATTTTTCTGCTGATTCTTCAGTTCCTTCTCTTGAAGCTATGGTTTCAAGGCTGCACTACAGCACACAGTCAAGGTCAAACACTAAGGAAAAAGATTTAGAAGCACTGCAAGATTACAACCTAATTGTGCTTCCTAAACTACGGGCAATGACTGAAGTTCCAGTATAATCACGTGCCCTTCCTTCAGGAAAAGCTGGCACCCACTGACAGAGCCAACTGTGTCTCTATCTTGAATTGAGTGATAAAGACAAGAGCTGGACGTGGGAACAGGATCAGATAAGCAGGGAACACAAACCATAACAACCACAGACTTTAAAAAAAAAAAAAAATCCCCAAGACACTGAAAACACAGAGGAAGAAACAGAAACAGCCTTTTCCTTATCATTGTACATCTGCTGTAAAGAGGATCGAACTGAAGAGTCCAGACATCTCACCTCTTATCACAGCACTGCAGACACTGAAAACCTCACTCCCACTCCCAGTTTTAACACCCTTGCCTACAAAACACGAAACACGTATCTGCAAACTTCCATCATTAGACTCATCATAAATCTTACCTGTATTTAAGATCTGCAGCTGCACATGTATTTACGATTGCACTTCTTCGCTCATCCCTTCTCAGACAAGAGTCTCTCTGAATTTTTATTATGCAATGGAATTAAAAGTTAAATACAGAAAGTAGTCTTCAATGGCTTGTTCAACATTTACTTTCAGTTCCAGCATGGCTTGTCAAGAACCTCAGCAAGAGAACTGCCCCAACAGCTGCAATGCTGCCTTCTCTCAAATCAGCACCTCTCCAAAGCAAGAGATCTGAAAGGATGAACCGCCCCTTTCCAAACCTCAGACCTGAGAGTGCCAGGCACCAATCTACAAGTTGTTAAGAATTAAGGTAGTTCATGCCTGATACAAGCCTGATAATTCATTGCCATATGAATACCATGCACCTATTTGAAACCGTTAAGTTACCTGTTTCTGGAAAAGTCGAAACAAAGTAAAAGAGAAGAGGGCATAGTTTATATCATCTACATGATTAAAGGATACATTTTAGAACTGTCCAAAAACAACAGCTAAAGAGACTCACTAGCAAGATGATACTTTCTCTGCATTTTTCTTAGTTTTCTTAGTCACAAACCTAAAGGCAGACAATTTCTGGTACATGATTTAAAAAAAAAAAAAAATACTTCAAAAGCTAAATTCATTCTGCATGTAAGAAGACATTAGAGTACATGCATTAGAAGACTTCCAGTTTTATTTTTAAAATAATCAACAATCAGCAGTTGCAAAGCAGATTTTTTTCCCCGCATTTTAACTCAATATCTGAGCTTCCTATCTATGTCTGTGGCAGATGCTTTGTAAGAGTAGACACACACAGGGGCCTAAACATGATTCACATAAGAACCACTATATTCTCTAACTTATCCTTACTCTGCTTCTATTTAGTTCATTAGAGGCAAGTAGGCCTCCTGATTTATAATCCTTTAGCCATAGACCAGAATTTAGCAATTTTAGAGCTTGAAAGTTTGGCCAGTTGAAATGACATTTTATTTCTAGATTAATAAATCACCATTTGATACAAATTCTCTATCTAATAATCTCTACTGTAAGAACACCGGCTGGATGTTAAGATCAAGGTCTGGAGCAGGAGAGCCAAGTACTGCCAGTCTTCAGGAGGTGAACCCTTCAAGCCAGATTTAGAACAGAGGAAACATTTGCTCTATCTCCTCCAGAGATAAATATGAGTACTCAGGTTACTAAACACTTACAGCTTAATTATTCAGGAAAGATTCTGCAATTACAGTGTATACATATAGTACCTAGTAGGTGACCCAGCAGTTACCAAAAAACAGTACAGAAATATACTTCTGATTCCAATTTCCAAACTAAGGGACAATCTACA